TATATATATATATATATATATATATATATATATATATATATATATATATTCCTGCCAACCCGGGATCGTAAGCTTACATGACCATATTACACATTAAAAGTACCAGAATGCAGGTTTCCATGGTTACAGCGTCCTCTGATGTACTGTATCCGTTAACTTGGCCTTTAGGTATATCTTTTGGATAAGCCCTACAGCTAGAAATGTATCTTTCAAATGTGCTTTCAAGTGCTAACACGATCCGGTCATTTCTCATTGACCGTAAGTTCTCGTGGCGTCACATTACATAACGTGCATGATTACACTTGAATCGTGTGGCACGCAACATCGCTTCTCTTGTAGCATGTAGGATTTTTAAAATAAAATATGCACTTGATGTGTACACGTATCGTTGACTTATTTGAGTATCCATTATCCGAGCACGTAGCCCATAAAATGTAATTTAAAATGTAATATGGCATCGCGAAACTAAGAAACCAGGTACTGTCTTGCATAAATGTTCCAATATTCAGAACGTAGTTTGTATAGGCCTATGTCTATTTCTATTTATTTTAAAAGTCTACAAGTCTGATGTAATCGCTCTTTGTTGATGAGTATCTGATACAACTGGAGGTTAACTTAGAAATTTAATCCCTAATTTAAAATCAGGTTCTGAAGGGAAAAATGTTAATATGTTGTATAACTGATTTTTCTAAGACACAAAAAGCATATTTGTGTTACGCCCCTTTCCCCTACCTCCCCAGTTTTAAATATTCAAAATTCTGAATCTCATTGACCCTTCGTCAAATTTTTCGTCAAAATGCTTTTTGTGTCTTAGAAAAATTAGTTGTACAACATATACAAGAAATTTCCTCAGGAGCCTGACTGTGTAGGCACTATTTAAAATGTGGTTAGATACACCATAAACAAAAATAAAATTATAGGTAATTAAGGTCGTTAAACTATACATAAAATTCACCTGGGAGTGCCGCATCTAAAAGTATTTACATGGCATTGTGGGAGTGCGAAACCTTTTCTTGGAGGGGTGCACACTCTCCATGATAGATACGCCACTGATCTGGTAATGAGATAAGGCACTCAATAATGGGTGATAATTAATTTAAAAGAAACGAAAAAAAAAAACAAAAAAAAAAACGATACTGTACTTCCATATGCTTCAGCATTGTGCATTTTTTTTAGTACAACCACTTGGTATCGGGATCCACTTTACAACATTCATCCTTCTTTACTATGCGAAGCTGAGAGTTTTTGGAGTTGCAATGAGTTTATTTAGAGTCGAGTTGTCTTAAATCACATATATAGTCGATGAACACTTCATAAAGTTCATTAAAGTAAAAGGCAAACGTTTGGCCGACTTTTAGGCCTATGGTCCAATGTTTCGGGTACAACAACAAAAGACCTATCGGGCCATGCCAGTTCCCGGTGTGGGCAATCTGAGCCCGACGGTCGTCCGCCGACGCGATCACGATGAGTGCGCAACAGATCGTTTTTAATTACGATCAGACTGCCGCCAACAATCAGCAAATGGCGTTGCGTCGTCTAGCCAGTAGCGTATCTAGTAGGGGTGGGGGTGCGTGGGGGAGCACACACCCCTCAAAAAATTAGTCCCCCATTCCCCCCTCCCCCAAACAAAATTACGGTCAATAATTAAAAATCACCTAAAATCTAAAATCACCTTAATTAAGCCATTTTGATCAACTCTCTACAAATTCACCCAATAAAAATCCTGCGTACGGGCCTGTAAACTATATTAGGACTAGATTGTGGAATGATGTGAACTTGTAGCTACCACGAAGTGCCTCTTTACGGCTGCTATGTATTCACGGACCACATCCACGCAATTCAGCACAATGACGCTGCAAATTATGGATTATTCTGCTACAATTAACTTTACCTTTATTTAGAAGTAAGCTGGGTTGAGCTGAATAACTCTAAACGCTTTTTAATATATTTATTTATTTATTATAAATTCGGCATAGATAAGTACGTTAGGTACAGATAAAAAAAAAACTACCATTCGACAAGTGCCTGAACTAAAGACAACAATGAAGTACAAAAAAGAAAAAAATTAATAATTTAATTAATTTTTATTGAGAGGGAATTTGGTTTACCAGAAGGGGTCTGCTAGAAAATGAGGGTTCGGCCGAACCTCCTTGGTTACGAGCTTGTCGTCAATATGTTTGGATGATAACCACTTTACTTTAAAACCAACATCTATTAATAATCGATATTTGTTTCTTTTTGTCAACCTGGTCTCACAAAATATGATTACCACATGGAATCATGGTCTCAAATTGATTCACGAACTAGTAATCAGTGGACGGTAATTTATGCAACGTAAACTATTAGAAACTTTATTCCACGGAACAGCAAGTTGGTGATTTCACGCCCATTAGCAACCACTCAAAGCCTGCTATTTATGCGCATAATCAAGACCTCATTGGTGAATATAGGCCTCCAACGAACAAGCTCATTAATTGAATGGGAAGATAATGGTAGGCCTGTCGAACGATTTACATTTACTGCGTACTGGAAACATTTTGACGATAGAATGAACACATCCGTATGATATTTTCTTGTTCAATCGTATACGGAGTTAACCGAGGATAACTCATGACGTGTTCTGGTACATTTTTTTTAAATTAAGCTATAATAGAAATGTTTTCTAACCTGGACATAACATCGATTGTTAAACCAAATTGGGATCATTAAAAAGTGCGCTTTAATGAAACTTTTTATGAAGATGAATTCTGAAAACTTACGGCAGGAAAGAACATAATTTGATTTACTATGAAATCTTATCCTGTACTGCTGCTGTTTCCATTATTTTTATTTGTATTTGTCGCAGAACCAGTGGATATAGTAAATGGTAAGTAATGGTATTATTGAGGGGTTTCTATGAATATATCAATCTAAATACATACGCTGGCAGGAAAGCCGATTTTGATATTATACAATATATATATATATTGTGTAAAAAATGATGATCTAATTCAGCTTTAATGAAGCGTGGGATATCTTCTCATACTTCCTAAGCAAACAAATTGGCAGGTCTTCCGAACTAAAATCCTTAATGATGGAACCAAACGGACGCAAATTGATGAAAATTACAACACATTTTAAGAAAAGAACTAAGGATTTAATTGTAGTAAACATGTTTCGGGTGTTCTCTCTCACCCATCATCAGTACAAACTGAAAGGTTTTCACTAATTAATATTCATTCATTCTTTGTATAAATACTCTTAGTTAAGAATGACAAGGTTTTTCTTTCCGTTTATTTCGCCTTTCAGTTTGTACTGATGATGGGTGAGAGAGAACACCCGAAACATGTTTACTACAATTAAATCCTTAGTTCTTTTCTTAAAATGGGTTGTATTTTTCATCAAGTTGCGTCCGTTTGGTTCCATCATTAAGGATTTTAGTTCGGAAGACCTGCCAATTTGTTTGCTTAGGAAGTATGAGAAGATATCCCTACGCTTCATTAAAGCTGAATTAGATCATCATTTTTTACACAATATATATATATATTGTATAATATCAAAATCGGCTTTCCTGCCAGCGTATGTATTTAGATTGATATATTCATAGAAACCCCTCAATAATACCATTACTTACCATTTACTATATCCACTGGTTCTGCGACAAATACAAATAAAAATAATGGAAACAGCAGCAGTACAGGATAAGATTTCATAGTAAATCAAATTATGTTCTTTCCTGCCGTAAGTTTTCAGAATTCATCTTCATAAAAAGTTTCATTAAAGCGCACTTTTTAATGATCCCAATTTGGTTTAACAATCGATGTTATGTCCAGGTTAGAAAACATTTCTATTATAGCTTAATTTAAAAAAAATGTACCAGAACACGTCATGAGTTATCCTCGGTTAACTCCGTATACGATTGAACAAGAAAATATCATACGGATGTGTTCATTCTATCGTCAAAATGTTTCCAGTACGCAGTAAATGTAAATCGTTCGACAGGCCTACCATTATCTTCCCATTCAATTAATGAGCTTGTTCGTTGGAGGCCTATATTCACCAATGAGATCTTGATTATGCGCATAAATAGCAGGCACTGAGTGGTTGCTAATGAGCGTGAAATCACCAACTTGCTGTTCCGTGGAATAAAGTTTCTAATAGTTTACGTTGCATAAATTACCGTCCACTGATTACTAGTTCGTGAATCAATTTGAGACCATGATTCCATGTGGTAATCATATTTTGTGAGACCAGGTTGACAAAAAGAAACAAATATCGATTATTAATAGATGTTGGTTTTAAAGTAAAGTGGTTATCATCCAAACATATTGACGACAAGCTCGTAACCAAGGAGGTTCGGCCGAACCCTCATTTTCTAGCAGACCCCTTCTGGTAAACCAAATTCCCTCTCAATAAAAATTAATTAAATTATTAATTTTTTTCTTTTTTGTACTTCATTGTTGTCTTTAGTTCAGGCACTTGTCGAATGGTAGTTTTTTTTTTATCTGTACCTAACGTACTTATCTATGCCGAATTTATAATAAATAAATAAATATATTAAAAAGCGTTTAGAGTTATTCAGCTCAACCCAGCTTACTTCTAAATAAAGGTAAAGTTAATTGTAGCAGAATAATCCATAATTTACAGCGTCATTGTGCTGAATTGCGTGGATGTGGTCCGTGAATACATAGCAGCCGTAAAGAGGCACTTCGTGGTAGCTACAAGTTCACATCATTCCACAATCTAGTCCTAATATAGTTTACAGGCCCGTACGCAGGATTTTTATTGGGTGAATTTGTAGAGAGTTGATCAAAATGGCTCCGGAGGCTGCCTAGGGGTAAAAACCCTGCTGGGTTTGAGTGGGAGGAGACTGACATTTTTGATAATTTGATGTTTTCTGTATTAAACGGTTTTCAGTGGCGAATCCATGAATTTGAAAAAGGGTGAGGGGAGGGTGCAGGGAGGAACTTTCACAGATTTGCTATTTTGTTATTTTAGTATTTTTATAGCACCTATTCCGTTAGGTTACAAAGCGATTTGTTGTCCCTGGTCATTGGGTCCACATGCTTAAATGTTGCTGCCATATTGTCGCAGTAGCAGGCAACCCCACCAGTTACCCAATTATACTCCTGGGTGGAGAGAAGCAATGCAGATAAAGTGCCTTGCTCAAGGACACAAGCGAAATGCACAGTGAGGAATTGAAACCTCGAGTTTGGGAAACCTAACCGTTCCCGATTCGCCAAACCACCTCAGCTCCACCATGGCTGGGGCCGACTGAGAAAAGAAAAATTATGATGGCACCTCCAAATGACCAGAAATTGCACTCTTATACAATTTGAATATTTACTTTTTCTTCCATTTTTTTTTTTTTATTATTTTGAAAAATTAGCGAGGACTTATTTTCTAGGCTCCTTGAATCCGCCACTATCAGTGGCGGATCTAGGAGTCCGAAATAGAGGGGGAAATGGAAGGACTTTCACAGATTGAGGGTCTATAACATCTCAGTCCCACCATGGTTGGGGCTGCGGTAGAAAATTGATGATTGTGACACTTATAGATGGCCGGAGATGACACTCTCAGACTTCAATTTGAATATAAATTTCTTTTCTTTTTTTAAAAATAATTTTGACAAATTTAGGGTGGGGGGGGGGAGGGCACCACCGCTGGGAATAGTGCAGCACAGTCTAGAAGCACCGATATATTGGGAAAGGTCATCATCACATTGACATAATCATCATCATCATTGACACGCAAGCGGTGGGGAAAACTTCCTCAAAAAACTTAAATAAATACTGATTTGTTCTCTTTAGATGATTCAATTAATATTTTTTTTTATATATTAGGAAAAATTTTACTCACACGACGTTTCGCTGATACTCTATCAGCATTATAAATCCCATATATAAATACAGTTAAAAGTCGCTGCTTGTACGACGAATTAGAGGCCTAGCTGGAAACTGTTCTGACTAGTCAAGGAGGTTTGATGGATTCATTTCTGGAATGTGCAAGAGTGAGTTTTGAGTTTCTACCCTGGAAAATGTGGACCTTTGGTAATTGGGTGGGGGGAGGGTGAGTATGCACCCGTCGCAACTCCCCCGCCCCCCTCCACTGCGTGCGGACCTGGTTTTTTAGTATCTCCATTAAAATAAAATAAACTTATCCAGCAGCTTAGCTCAGTCGACTAAACTGGTATTAGCCACTGTGTGTACACTCGACCGTCAAGATTCCCATTGCTGCTCTCCTTGTATTTTCAGCCAAAGGAATGAAAAGCAAGTTATGATAGCGCACCGTCTTTCGAATGACGTTTAAGCCGTTGGTCCGGTGTGCATTATGGCCTGTGTGCACGTTAAATAACGCAGTACATTCTTCGGAAAAGAGGGGATTGTATTGCCCAATCACCAAAAGGACCCCACTGGAAATCAGTCTTCTTCAGACTTTAGTGGGTTATCCTTGGTGTTTACACCGAATAAATCCATCCATGATTTCAGAACTAGTAATTTCACTGCCAGTTATATTGGCGTCCTGCGGCGGTGGTTTACGTTAAAAATTAAATAAAAGTAGGCTGTATGAAAGTAACTCGATGCTGTAGGCTCATATTTAAATATATGAAACTCTAAAGGCTTAGAGATATATTGCTGAAAGTTTTTTTTTTATAAAATAATTATCGATTACAGACACTCATATTAATAGGCCTAGTTCTGAGTAGTATTTTGCTATTTTATTTATGTATTTAAATATGATAGAAAAAACCCGTTGTCGACGGCGATGATTACGATGATGGGGACGATAATGACGCATATTGACGAAAATGATGACCATGATGACGACGATGATTAAAAGACTCGTGGAGGACGACGACGACAATGATGATGTTGACGTTAATGATAATGATGGTGATAATGACGAAAATAATTGTGATTACGATGATGATAACGATTATGATTACGATATTGATGACGACTATGTTGATGGTGATGGTGGTGGTGGTGATGATGATGATGGCGACGACAACGACGACGATGATGATAATGATATTGATGACGACGATGATGATAATGGTGGTGATATATTTAATGTTAATACGTTAACAGCGAATCAATCACGCTTTCTTTCCGAATATGATTCGGTCGTACATTTATAATGATGGAATATAATCAAAACAAAATGTTATTTGAAGGTTTGCATGGCGAAGTAATAATATATATTGTAATGCTTGCAAACAGCACGTAGATGTTCTGAAAAGAAATGTTGTTGTTGGTTGAGAATATCTCGACGTTTCGATTGAGTTACTTCAATCGTCTTCAGGAGAATAATATGATTATAAATTCCATATCCATCGTACAAAAAGTATGAACTACATTCGAATGCTATCATTGCTTACTAAATCTAAATAGGCCGAGAAAGTGGCAACAGCTTTAAAAGTTTTAGAAACTGTTTTATTCGTTCATCATCAGGTTACTTGAATAATATTCTGACATTTAGTAGGAGCATTAATATAGATCCAGTAGGAACGATTTAGGGTATAGATGACACAGTAATTGTGGGACACACAGACGTATTTAATACTTAACGATTTAAAATGAGACTTTGTCTTACATTAGAACGTCTTCAGAAAATGTAAACAATACACGTTCATATAAGCTCCACAGATTACAGCGAAGGTCTATGCTGTCAATGGTACAATTAAATATATCATGTTTCCATAATTTAGATTGGATGACACTTTCTATCAATGGTATGAGAAAGACAATATCGGTAAGACAAGAACCTTAAAAGAGCTTCATAGGCAATTTTCTGGGGCGGATGCAGGATTTGGTCACGGTGGTAGGGTGCGTGAGAGTCCATACCAAAATTATGAGAATAAGTACCTTCAGGTGTCCGGAAATTGCATTTTTATACATTTAAAATCTTACTGGGAAGTCATACCAACAATACAATTATTTTCTTAATACAATTTAGAGGGGGGGGGGTGCGATCCAACCGTCTGCATCCGCCTTAAATTTTGTAGTGTACCTCCCAACTCCCCCTCTCTCCCCCAAGCTAAATCATGGATATATAGAAGCAAATAAAGTTTCCTGCTTTTGGGTGATCTTGGGTACAATGGGACTGTCATATGATCAACGTCAGACGCGAACTTTATTAATATTATCATCAACATCACAACACAGCAGCATCATCATTATCGGCATCATCGTCATCATATCGTCTTTACCATCATCCTCATCACCATCATCGTGTCACGAAAGTTACTGCCCATCTCACTGAGGTGCTCTAGGTTAGGCCCTTAGTGTCATCACTCAATAATACCGTAGAGGATGAGCCAGACGATTTACCCATAGGAACACTGCTACAGCTTACAATACAATGAGAGTAGTAAACTATATACCCAAATATGGAGCGATGTAACTAATGGAAAAGTCATTAAGAGCTTTGTTACATCAAAGCGTTAGAGTTGCGCGAACAGCATTTAACAATGTCGTCACACACGTCATGATATGGCATTTACATATGCAGCATATGTTTTGATTTTAATGAAATTACCTAAATAAAATTAATGTCCCACATTCGTGTTTATCTTAAAGTTTATACATATAATTTACCTAAGTGATAGCTGTGCGCAGGCGCGGTACCGTATCCTATGAAGCAACGCGCAGTATCATAGCCAATCAAATGAACAGCTCAGTGTATAATTTCCACAGGGAAAAGAATGAATGGGAACTCAACCATTACGTCAAATCACAGAAGCCCTTTTTTAAAATTGGCAATAACCGGCCTATACTGTTCAAATTGTACTGTGATTTAAAGTAATAATCGTGACAAATCCAACTAATTTGTTTAAATGATTTCAACCGGAGTAATGCTACATCCTAGCCCTTTACAAGTTACAATTGCCTATTTAACGACGATACCATAGAAAACTTATAAAGCTCAGTAAGAGTTTTTTGTTAAGTTTGGACGAAAGCGTCATTTAATATCTCAATGTTTATCATCGTTAACTTAATTTAAGTAGTGGGATGAAATTAAGTTTAATACTGAAAAATTGCCAGTATTACGTAATCCACTTATGGTTGTCTTTGTTTTACAGTATTTTGATAGTATTTCTATACCAAAACAACACTTACCATCATGTTACATACTAACACCGGTAAGTGTAAATAATCCAAATAATGAAAATAAGGGATTAGAAATTACAAATTCGCCAGCAAGCAACCTTCAAAATAAATCACTGTACATTTTGAAATGCACATCTGTTCACAGTTAATTCTAATCTGCTTTTAAACAGTGTTCATTCTATAATGCATCATCTGAATTTCATAATGCTATGTATGGTTACAATATCTGTTATAGATGAACGGCAAATATAAATCTAAAAATTTAAAAGAAACTGAATTGCTTAATCTCTTTCATATTTCAATCAGTATATAACATGTCACACATACAAAATAAAAAAACATCAACAGATTATCAGATGCCAATTAATTTATTTCATTATGAACTACAATATTCAACAATAATCTGAAAATCTTAAAAAAAAAAAAGACCAATCCATACCAATACAGTATCTGATTTAAAAAACACTTAAGAAATAAATCAGGTAAAACAAAAGCTTAGCTTTTGTGTTGATAGGTTTAAAACATCAATCACATATACTATAAATATTTGACGAAAACAGCTGCATTCATCTTTAACATTACAATTCACATCAGATACACAACCACTGATAGAAAGAGTGCATATATGGTTTGCTATGAAGTCATAAGAGACGTATTCATTTGTTACTTGTTCCATCATATTGTGCCAATTATCTGAATCATATATGATAATGCAGGGTACATATCAACTGTAAAGCTCTATCTACACTGTCAAATTTTCTTTTGACAAAAAAATGTGACATGCCCATATATAGTAGTGCTATGCCTATATATGGTCATGGTGTGATGTCATCATGCCCATATATGGGCATATCACACTTTTTTGCCACACAAAATTTGATAGTGTAGACTGAGCTTTACACCAGTAAGAACAAAAAAAATGGCTTAAATTATGCTGTAAGAAGTGTCAAAGAACTGTAAAACTCAATTTGTATACATAGTAGAATGTTTTCATATGATGATGCTATTTTAGTCTAAATCTATTCATCACAATGAAACCAAATCCGAAAAAATTCTATAAGAAAAATAACAAATTTGCTGAGTGCATCAAAGTATGCGTATAATTATGAAAACAATATTAATTTTAAAATACATACGTACTCGCGCGAATAAGCACTTTTTGAGGGGCGCTTATAGAAACAGATGAAAATTGAGGGGTTCTTATGGAAACTTATGAAATGCAAGAGGCACTTTTTGAATGAAAAAAGATTATATAAGGACATCAGGAAACCGAAAATTGTGAATGGTGGTGTGACGGAAACGATAATCGTCCAGAGAGCATGGCTCATGACAAGAATGCTGTGAGTGTTTACAAAACAGCAGAACAGCAAATGAAATCAATGGTGGTGGTGGTGGTGGTTAGCTTGTTGGCCATCTGCCGATTGACATTAGCAGGATCATTGCAGGTTTTCTTGCAAAACTCAGATGAGAATATGCTAAAGGTGCAAATTGTCAGAAAAAGAAAAAGGCCTAGACAAATATAAGAGGAGGAAAGTTGGAAATATACTGTCTGTCCAGGGAGCTCTCATCTGTCCAAATGAAAATCATCATTTTGATATTTACTAGAGGAGAATGTGATTCCACTACGCAGCTCAAATCATACCAACAACCACAGTCTCAGGATTGATTGGATTATTGGCTTGCTAAAAAAAAAATCACATATTGAGGAGGCGCTTATTCAAACAAGGCGCGCTTATTCAAACGAGGCGTTTAAGGAAATTTTCACGTTAGGAGGGGCGCTTATTCAAACGGAGCGCTTATTCGCACGAGTACGGCACTAGAATATAAAAAACAATGTAACACACAATGAAAACTAAAGTCTTATAATTTCTTAAAAGGAGTAATTCATACCATCATACAGGTTATACTGTAGAAATGTATTTCTGTGAATAATTTACTTGCCACAATGGACCTTGCTATGCCCCACCCCTTGGATATTGTTGCTAAGGTCCACACACACAAACATGCGTATTCCTTGGCCTGTTTTGATTGGTCAGCTGTTAAGGAGAATATCCATGTGGGGTCTAACTTTCCATCAGCAGATGGTGTTCCTGAACATTGGTTGGTATGTCTGAGGGTTCCAATTCTGAATTTTACATATGAACAAATCCTACTCTGGAAATGTCCATTCTGTTTACATGCACATTGTGATTAACATTATAAATCAATAATACTTCTGTCCATGTTGATCAGATTAATTATCCATTATTATGCAAATTCTGAGTAATTACTTATCCTTACAAAGAAGAAACATAATTGGCTTTGATTCAATTATTTCTTATTTTCTACAGAGTTAAGCCAGCAGAATGTGTTAAAAAGTTTATAAAATTATTTCTTATTAATAATAAATCTATTCTTCCCTAAATTTAAGTCCAGTAATACAGTAGTAGACTTAAAAACAATTCTGGTAGAAAATTATGAAAAAGTTTGACACTGGAACTGTTATTGTTTTGTGAGCAAAGTCAAATGGGTTACTGATGGAAATAGGGAGGTTTCACAAGCTAATGAAAACGAAAACCAATTACGGCTACATCATCAAATGTTTACTTCATTCATCCCCTACAGTAAGTTATGTGTCACAACATAGGTCATCTATGCCTTTTACACGAATCAACAATTATATTCAGCTCGTATATGTATTGTCAAGAATGTTTTAGTACAAATGACAATAATGAAGATGACGTATTCGTTATCGTTTTTATAAGGTTGCGAAAACTCCCTTAATGAAAACTAAACTAATCTATAACTAGAATAAAAAAGTGTTTGATATTTACTCCATGTATAATTTACATACAATTCACATGTGTAAAAATCACATTATGCGAAAAGGTACTCTGAGTGTCTGTGTAAATACCTAGCTATTCTTTTTGTCTGTGTAAATATCTAGGTATCCCAGGGTGTCTTAAAGTATCTGGGTAATCCAGGTGTTCTGTGTGAATGTAGTTATATGAAGTATATGTGTTAAAATAATAAACAGATGAAATGTTGGTACACGCACATGTAATATCATTTTTGTGTGCGTGAATACGTATGGTTCAGTTATGCCATCTATATTAGGAATACAAAAGTTCACAAGAAATTCCTTTCAGTATCATACATAAAGCATGTAGTTATAAATTATATACCAACTAAATCACTGCAATAAAATTTTATTTTATTATTACACGTAGGTTGAAATTATGAACCTACTTCAGCGATGTTGATCAATGTTTACAAGAAAATGAGTATATGTGTACGTATGATTTTAGATGTTTTTGTCAATAGCATGCTGGTTAATTAAGTGACTGTCTATTCTGTGCTCGGTCCTGGTCCTGGTCCTGGTGCACCAGACCCAAAGCCAAGTCCAAAGCTACGCTGGGTGTGAGTCTTGACTCGTGCCACGTGGTATTCTTGATCAAGTTGAGTAAACAGTTTTGTCCTTTCATCCTCCTGTTTCTTTACATCTGCCATGGAAGACACAGTAAACCAAAATGATTAATAACACACTGACTAGTTTTTAAATTCTTGTTACATCATGCTAATGAGCATCTATATAGTGCCTGAATACGAAGCACATATTTTCCCATGGCCATTACGCCAATATCCTCAAGTATTGCTGCAGTATTGGCGCATTAGCAGGCAACCCCACCAGGTACCCATTTATACTTTTGGGTGGACAGAAAAAAGCAAATTAAGTGCCCTGCTCAAAGACACAGCACAGAAATGGATTGAAAGCCAATCCATTACCACTGCTCCAAAATTCTTAATAAAAGTATTGTATTATATGAAACTCTTTTCTGGCTTGTGCTCTCATATTACAGACCAGCCAATGAACACACAGATATTTGACCCTCAAGTAAGACAAATTAAAGAAGCGTAACACAAATTAGACGCAAGAAGCAAAAAACAAAGAATAGCAAGACTGAATTACTTTCCAGTGTGTTATATACTGAGTAAAACTGCACAGAAAACTGCACAGCAAAAATTCATAACCTCCCATCATCAGACAGTTCACAGGCCTGCCACCACAAACCTACCTTCTTCAGCAACTACGCTATCGGCTTTGATTCCCATTAGACGTCTGAACTTCTCGCTTGTTGCCTCATCACTGAAAGACGTTCTTTCCCACTTGTTGCTCGATGTAGATGTATCTTCCGTTTGCTTAAACAAAATAAACACATAACCCACTGATCAATATGCGAAACCCTAATATTACAATGTTATTCAATTCGTGGGCATATTACATTTCTCTTAGACCCCTACTTCCCTTTCTTGTGTAGACTTCCTTACCTCAGCTGCAGGAGTTTTCTTTGATGACCAGAGTAGCTGGCGTTTTCTTGCTTTTTCTGCATATTGTAATGGATTCACAGCCATTGGATTATAGTAACTAGGAACAGCTATTCCAGTTGTTGCTAGGGCCTGAAATAACAATTGTATTGTTTTAATTTTTACTGTTATTTCTCAGCAACGAATGTACCTCACAAGAAGGTGTTTGTATTTGTGTAAGTGATCCCCTGATTGAGGGCAAAGCTCCACAAAGAAGTTGGCGTAAATTATTAGTATAAAAATGCATTTATGCTGACACCACATACTTCCTTAAAATATATTTTAGCATATGTATATGCTAGGCTTTGGGGCTTTATCCCCCTGCCATTCTCACGACACTCCTGAATAGCTCTTGTATTTCATAATTCTTAAAAAAATTTGTTGTGAAGACATAATGAGTTGTTTGCTTACCTTTGCCTGTAGCTCAGCATAAGCGGCTTGAAACGCTAGTTGAGCATTAGCACCAGTCATTGATGAAAGTGCTTTTGAAATTTCATCTGCAGCTAAAATCAAATCCAAATAACTTTAATGCTTGCTGTATCTTATTTTTCTATAATTCACGTAGTACAAAGACCCTTTAATTGGCCTCTAAGCAATTTATATATGTTTGTAATAAAATTACTGTTAATCAATGAAAGTTAACTGCTTCGATGTGTGTCTAAGTGTCTGAGGCCTATTTAGTTTTCATATCTAAAACAATAGCAACAGCAAAAATCATTGCAAGGTTGCGAAATGTGGTCACTGGGCTTCTTTTTTCTTTTCTTTTTTTTTTTTGCAAACTTTGGTCGGGTATCTTTTCGAGATGGGCTTCTTTACAAGGCTACTTTTGCAAAGTAAAAAGGGGGGCATCTTTTCAAAATGAATGCCGTAAATTTTGGAATTACTATAAAACAATAAATAGGGCCACTGTAACATCAATCTGTATTATGGAATGTATTCACCGGCATTAAAGTACCTAAACTACTGCATAAACCAAGTGTTTTTTTTTTCAAATTACTTTGTTTCTTCAAAATTCGTGTACAGTGTATGTACTATACTATCTTGAAAAGAAGCACATGGACTTCCTTTCGAGGAGGCTACTTTTGCAAACTAAAGAGGGGGCTTCAATTCGAGATTAGCTTACTCTCAAGATTAAACCCATTGGGCTTTAATTCGAGGTTGTACGGTATGTATATTCCGGTCAGTGTAACATACAATAATAGGAGAATTATAATTAAATTTAAAAGGTATGAGAGGTAAGTTTAACATCAATTATGAAATGTTGATAAAAAGAGAGAGTTTTTACTTTTCTTAGGTTGGCCTTCAGCAGCGGCAGCTCTGGCCTCTGCTTCCTCCTTCCTTTTCTGGTCTTGAATCTTTTTGGCCTTCTCTAACCTTCTTGCAAGTGCTTCCTGAGCATGGATGGCAGAGTCATAGCCAGCACCACCCTTTCCACGTCGTCCCCGACCATAAAATGGTGATCTTGAGCTTTAAAAAAATTTACTCACACAATTACTACTCAGGGAATAGATTACAATTCTTTATATTGAGTATAACTTTTGTAAGGGTTTATTATTATTCCCTTTACATTATTCCCTTCACATTAAAAAGGAAGGTACAGAAAGTGCCAATTAAAACATGAACAATGCCATGTCTGTAATTAAGCTATATTACGAAGCTTATGGAACCAGCATTGTAGTAGTTATTATATATTCTGTATAAAAATTATACAGAATTAATCTGCTAAGACTTACCGAGAACGACCTACAGGAGACCTTCTCTCACGATGACCTCTTGGAGAACGTGAACGCCTACGTCTTTCGTCCCTTCTTTTATGTCTTGGTGATCTTGAACGAGAACGAGACCTGGACCTATTAGGAGGTCTCCTTTTCACAGGCGATCTAGAACGAGATCTCCTGCCAGGAGATCTGGAGCGAGAATTATTTTTAGGTGACCTAGAATGAGATCTTTTGCGAGGGGATCTGGAGCGAGAATTCTTAGGAGACCTAGAATGAGATCTCTTGTGTGGAGATCTGGAGCGAGAATCCTTCTTAGGTGATCTGGATCGTGACCGTAACCGTGATCGTTTCTGGGGTGAACGGGAGTGCAACTTACGGCGAGGTGACAGGGATCGTGATTTTTTTCTTTCTCGCCTTTTTGGAGACCTTGAACGATCTCTTAACTGCAACTTTGACCTTCTCTTTGGGAACTTTGGTGGCGATTCAGAAGCTGAATCCCTTTCTTTTCTGCTTTGTGAATGTTTACGTGCTCGTCTTTCTTTTGGCGATTTCCTTCGCTCATGAGAAGAGCTTCGTGATTTGCCACTCTCTTCATCTGATGAGTCTGACTTTGGTTTCTTGGTATCTTCCGGGGATCTTGACCTGTATTTCTTCTCAACCTTTGACTTGCGGTCTGGTGATGACTTTCTGGCCTGTGTTGGGAGAAACGGTGCGCTTTCAGAAAAATATCCAACAAAACGTGTTAGAACATATGAACTTGAGGCATGAGATAATATTTTTCCTTACAAGAACAAATTTTATATGCAACCATTACAATAAATTGGAAAAATAAGAAAGCTGTATTTAAAGTTTAATAGAACATAATACAAAGTGAAATATAATTTTGTTTAAATGCCTAAGGTGATTTATTTATACCTTGTTTAGCAAACCCGCCCCACACCAATAATAATGATTTTGAATAAAAATAACAATTTAGTTTTGGCCAATTAACCATCCACCACAAAAAAAATGTCAATTTCAATTTTCTTTTTTTTCACGCCCACTGCTGCAGTGAAATCCCCAAAAATAAATTATGTATATTTCTTCATAAATTTTATATAAACTTAAAGCATTTAATCATCTCAATACTACAATGTTTACATTTACCAATGCAATTTTATTATTTTAATTTTAATTTTGTTCCCGACCTCCTCTGACGATTAAAAAAAAAAAAAAGTTTGTGAAACAAGGTATAAAAAAAGTCTCACCTAAATAACATACTTTCAATTGGTTGGGGTTCCTCTCCCTAAACACTTCTCAAAGTTTATGCTATTTGATATTGGTTACAGTCTTCCTAACAAATTTTATTTCATGATGATTATTAATATCACAAGGCCATAATACATTATTCCTTTAAGCCCAGCTCTCCCCACCCATCGGATATTGTTCCTAAAATGTTGCCAAAAATGACGACGACTATTCCTAGAAACATAGCTAAGCGTGTCCTGTCGTAAATATAAACATGTAATTTTGTTACATATGCATGTATACCTGGCCATGATTATAATACATACTATGGTCAGTTGATTAGTTTGGCTGGCATCCAGTACATTCCATCAGATATAGAGATGCAAGGGCTACTACACATTTTAAACTTAAATAAAATATCGTCCTTAGTGTCACATAAGCCTTTCATGCACCTGTCACCTTATCTAAAAGCTTACCTTTGGAGAAACACTCCTTTTTCGACTGCTCAGGTCTCGACCAAACTCATCGACCAGAGGCCGACTTGATTTTCTTCTTGAAGAATGCTGAATCATTTTTACAGTAAATTGTGTTATTAGTGATTCTTAATAGATAATACATCTTTTTTATACCACTTCTCAGATAAAAACTGAATTACATTTAATTTAATAAGAAATTTGAAGAAATTGGAGCTCATGATCTTTTAAATATAAAAATATTTCTTCACAATCATTATACATCATAGAAGGGTAAACATGTCTATTTTTGTTTTTGAAATGTATTCTTTCATTCACTCAATGTTTGCAGTTTCGTAAAACAAAATAAATTTTCTCAATTTTATTATGGATTAAATAACAGAAACAAACCTCCTCCCACTTACCTCTCTACTTCTGCTTCGGTATTTACGTCTTCTCTCTGCAAAAAATTGCAACAAATTTTAAGGCTATACTTAGTAATAGTTGCATGTATTCAATTTCACTGAAGTGCAACAAAAGCTTGTAAATAAAATTAGTGTCCTTAGTACAGTATAACCACAGAGAACACTTATAGTATCTATTTTGTGAAAGGAATATTCAAAATCTTACAGAAACATACAATGAAATACTGTATTCTAATTTACTATTAATGATAAATACAAGGTTCATCAAAACCAATGTATAAATCTCTATCCAGACTATAATTTTTCTTTTTTACAAAAACAGGTGACATGCAGCGCCTAAGGTAATGATGACATCACATCATGACCATATATAGGCAAATGATTACTACAGTACATATATTGTCATATAATAGTTTGTCAAATAACATTTTATAGTTTGGACAGGGGTTAACACTATGTTTAAAGATTTATTTGATATTCACCTTGTGATCTTGAACGTCTTCGTTTTTTCTTTGACCTTGAGTTTGAACGCGATGATCTTGACCGCCGCCTAGATGACACTCTAGATCTTGATCGCCTTCCTCGTGATCGTGATCTACGTCCTCTTGACCTTGATCGCCTGCTTCGTGATCTGTGACCTTTCTCTCGTGATCTTGATCGTGACTTGTGTCCAAATGATCTAGATTTTGATCGTTTACTTCTTGACCGTGATCGCCGCTTTGAACGCTTTCTTTCTTTTGATCTGGAACGACTACGAGACCTCAGCTGTTTCTCTTTAGAAGGTGATCTAGATCTTGATTCACTGGTTGAGGTTCTGTCACCTGCAAGGCTTTCACTTGAAATTTCTTTTGTCTCTGCCTGTTCATCAGGTATTACAGGAGCAGTTATTACAGGAGAAGTGGGTTCCTGAACTTTAGATACAATAATATTATCACCATCATCAGGTAACGGCTCTGTTGGATCATACAATATATTAACATTTTTCTCAGTCTCTTGCAAATTTTCTAGTAAAGTCACTGCTGGAATAGCATTTTCGGGTGGTTCATCTTCCCTTTTGGGAGGGTCATCTTCCCTTGTACCCTGCAGATCGATTTCTGTTCCATTTGATTCTTCATGTTTTATGTACTGTTCTGTTACAGGGATATGCTTTTGTGACGGGGAGTCAGACCGACTAAGTAATGGGGGCGAGTCGTAGTTCCCATCATTTGGTTCAGTAAAATTAGCATATTCATCCCTGGAAACTAGTTTTGGAGGTGATGGATAAACTTCTGTTTTTTCAGAAACCAATTTCATACGTTCATCAGATATCTGTGCACCAAACTCAAAGCTTTTCTTGTACAAGTTCTATGACATAGAAAACAAAAATCATTTAAAACTAAGTGAGTCAATCCACACTATCAACTTTTATGTGACAAATAAATGTTATACCATAATTATGCCCATATTTGGCTGTAATATAACATAATCATGCCCACATGGGCACATCAAATGTCTAAAGATTTACTAGTTCGACTATAAAGCTAATTTAGTGTAAAACTGAAAAATACTCAGATTTTGGATTCATTTTTCGAATAGTTAACCCTCGTTAACCCTAAAATGCCTTAGTTTATTATAATCCTTAATCCTTTATTAATTAATAGCTGTTAAAATTAGAATGGGCGAATTTAGGCGAATTTATGAAAATTGAAGTTGAAATATACTATACTTTTATAGGTCATGTAAATGTTCCATTAAATTCGAAACTTTTCTTGGTGGAAAATATTAATATGTTTGATATTTTATGAGAGATAAATGTATCATCTTATACACATCT